GTTCCTGAAAAAAGCCCGCTTCTTCCGTCAACATCTATGCGACCCGACGGCCCTCGAAGTCGGTGTGCACACATGGGTGGTTGTCAAAATTATGGTCCCTTTTTGGGTCCCTATTATAATACGGCACCTAATATTTGGGGTACCCAAAAAGGGACCACAATTTTGACAACCGCCCGCATTCAGTCTGTTGTTATCGAGCTTACCTCCGCACACTGCTGCAACTACTGAGCTCTGGCCTGCTTTGTGCTAATACGCACCAAGCTCAGGGATCCAGTCAAAACCCGTGGAACCCACATCTTACTAAGGATTTCCTGGACTTCGACTTGTTTGTCGAGATGCCCTCATCGGAGTCCCGTTGTGCCAGCCCTTATACTGTTAGCCTAGTTGCCGAGGTCTGGGAGGCCATCGCTGCAGCTATAGGCTATAGACAATATACTATACTATGATATTATAATACTATAAAATATGTTGTAGTATACGACTCTATGCGACGGTATACAATAATATGCTATTGTATATTAGGCTCTTCTTGCAACGAGCACCCTCAAAAAGTCTGCCCTCTTCTCATGTTGCCCAAGCGCTGCGCAAGGGCTCCCCCCAGTTTGTACACAGGCTATACCCTGAATCCAAGAGCCGTTACGTGCTTATGCTCTGAAAACACAGGCGGAATTACAGGGCCTTACCATGTCGCAGAACCCGTAGAAAATGGATAGCCAGACTCAGACCCTAAACTCAGGATTTCACAAAAGCAGACCCCAAATTCCGTCCTCTGAAGCACGGGGCGGCGGTGTCTTCGCCTGATGCTAGCTCGGGCATGGCAATTTCTGCATTTTCGGCCGTGATACCATCTATGCATCTTATGCCTGTGGTGCTCTGATGCGAACAAGCTGCACAGCTGCATGCTTGTATTCCGAATTGCCATGGCAGATATCAGAATCATGCTTGTGCTGCTTTGCACTTTGCGTAGTAGTACTGACACACACTACTGATACTGATATGGCCGCAGCCATGTTTGCTACGACGTCGCCGCTGACGAATTCAAAAGCCATTGCTGTTCATGGGCCTTGCCGGGAAGACCCCTGCACACTCGCAGATAGCAACAGGCTCGTGTGTCGAAAAGAGAAGCAACTGATTGTCAAGAACAGCATATCATTTTGTCCAAATCGGGTATCCTTAGGGACCCTAGGGACCTTGGGATGGATGCAGATTACAGGGGTTATGCTGCATCATACTTTGAATACTACGGGGCACGAAGTGAGAAACACGTGCACATTTTGCTGCTTATTTGGCTTTCGGACAAGAATCTAACATAGCAGTTCACTTCTAAATCAACCGAAAGACCCATTCAGCTGCATATCATATGGCTGAAATGAGTTTGACCCAGACTGTCTTCTGCAACATTAACATGGCTAACCTGGCTAGCATAGTAAACATGTCTCTCTGATGTAATTCTGGGAGCATCGTCTCTTGGACCTTCAAACAACGACACTTCTTAACCATAAGGCCGACCTCAAATGGCCACGTTTACCTTAGACATTGGCTGGCATGGCCAAATTGCAACCCCAACGGAACCATGGGTGCAGTCTGTGGAGCACATGATCGCAGAAGAGCGGCGCTGGCAAGCAAGCCAAGGCGAGGCTGCACAAGCGGATGTTGGCCCGTAGCTATGTGCACAGGCGTCTCCCCTGTGAGGTCAACCATCATCTGGTAGGGCTCTGCCTGTTACACTATGGAGCCATTGGAATGCAAGCTAGACGGCAAACAGCCCCTTTCCCCTGGTGATACTCTCCAATTCTTCAGCTCTTCCAACTACTCATGGACCGACTAGCGCGCAATCGCACGGCACTCCTTGCCTCGATTGTTGCCTAGATGCCCCATGCACAGTCCTACGCGAGAACAAACACCGCACAAACATATAGCCTTCTCCCAGAGCAAGGAGACAAATGATACAACCAACTTCCACATAATGGCCACAGACTGAGAGACCTGATTGAGACATCCCCACCTGCGGAAGTGCGGGCAGCTGCTGGGAGGCCCCGTCAGGGTCTGGACGCCTCATCCAGCCATAGTTGGTGCTACAACTCCCTAGTGCTGTGGTGAGGGAGGGCACAACAACATCTTGGAGAATGAGCTCTGGTGGGCCAGCACCCTGTAGAGCATGCGTTAGATTACAACACTGTTTATGGATCTTCTAGGCACTTCGACGCAGCTTCGCACTGCACCGCAGAGCAGCCAGCCCTCGGCTAGTTGAAAGACTTTGCTCAAAGTCGGTGAGGGCCAGTGAAAATTCGGAGCTTTCAGGATTCAGTCTGTGACTAACAATGGAGAACCAAATGGACAAGAACATGAAAAATAAGATATCGAGACTGTGTTGAGGAGCACCCATGTCAAGGAACCTCCCTTCAAGGATCCGTTGGTCTTTTGCTCCATCATCAGCTACGAGCCCATCCCAACATGAAGCGAAATAGCAGGTTCCGTTTTGTTTTCCATTATCCCTCATACACTACATCAAGTCCCTCAACCCTAAGTCCCTAAGTCCCTGAGCCCAATCGAACACCAAGTCACGAGCTGCAGTTCATGGGATACGGCGGCGGCTCCGGATTCAAGTTTATGGCGCGCTCCTTTTTTGCCTTGGCACTTCAAAGTCAAAAGCAAGCAAAGGCAGGAAAACCATTCAAGAACGCATAGAAGATGTACTTTCAGGCCAGCATGCTGCCTGCACACGGATAGCTCGCAAATCCTGGCTTGAGAGAATCCACAGGACAAATTGCGGTACAAGCATTGACGTCATTCCGTCTCCGCATGTCTCATGTAGAACGGTATCACGTAATAGGGATGTTTATCCATGGTAGGTGTGTTATACGAATAGAATCTCCAGGGGGATCTTTTGGATAGCCCATGGGATCCCAAGGGTATCCCTGCAGTTGTGTCTTACTATGTTTTACTCCAAGACGTCATGGCAAGCGGCCGGCAGCGGTCTTTGCTCCACGGTCACAGTGGTCACAGGGGAGGCAGCTGTTGCATAGCCAGAGTCCTACCGAACCCCAAGGGCTGAAATACACAGAACTGGCACCTATTCATAGTCAGAATGGTACAGTAGCAACGATTTTGTGCGTTCCCTACATTTGCCATGCAGAAGACTGCAGGAACTCCTTTCTAGTGGCCTTCGGACTTCAGAAAAAGCTTCTTGGGGTCTTTGCATGCTCTCTCCAAACCCTAAACCCTATATAACCCCCATTGTAGTAGTTTACAGTAGTTTCAATTGTTTTGGATTTGCTTTTGATTTTTTAGCAAGAATATACCAGAACATACATTGATATAACAGAGTATTTTATGACGGTCATCCACAACGCATTCTAACCCTGTACTGTAGACATCCAAGATCTCAGGCACATCCTGGAGTGCCAGAGGTGTAGCACCCAGCAAGGGAGTCTCCGCCTCGCGCGCTGCCCTGGCACGAGACCTGGATTCAAAAGAGGGCTGCATTTGGTTGCCATGTTGTGTTGTAGGCCTACCTTGCAGTGAGTTGTGAGAATTAGTCGTACGAGGCTTGAGGGTGTAGCCTTCCCTGGTTAAATGATGCAGGTTGCGGGGTCTCACGGCCTGACATGCCAGCACTGTGTGATCACTGCCCTCATGACGTGCCCGAGGACACGCAAGCCTTGGGAAACCTGAGGTCAGCCCAGGCACTCAACACTACACTCTGGGAGATATCTCAACTTCTACAAGCACCTAGCGTGTATGCATGCTCCTACAATTTGCCTTTGACTTGTCCTTGTTCTGGTTGTTCTAATATGATGATGGGGCCTTTGGGAGGCGGAAGGGAAACTGGACACTGATCACAACAGCTATGGGGCAAAAGGACTTAACTGCTGCTGTAGTTGCCCACACGATTTTTACACAACAAGCTAGGCTATCTCTGTGGCTTGACCATGTTGTGTTCTTAACTAAATCCGAAAAAGGTCGTGAGGTTCTAGACTGGGGCAACAGGAACGATGAGTGAAGGACTTTTGCTGGCCAACACAGCCCATAATGAAGTTGACCTTTCTAGGATACGAGGAGCACTCCGTACTTGATTGTCACAGATGGTCTAGGATGTAAAAAATCTCCGGTATGCCCTGCAAGCGCCAAACATGTGACAAGAGGCGAACCGCTGCTGGTGGTGCTGAGAGGAGGAGTCGACGAAACAGTTGCTGCAGCACCCTCCAGCGCCTCAGGTTCAGAAATCATGCTTCTGCCTGCTAGTTACAAATAGGTTACCCTGGGCAAAAGAATGAGCCCCACAAAATTCTACGTGTGCTGCCCTATTGCAAAGACTTATGAGGAGGATCCTAAATGTCATCCTTTCCGGAACCTAAACCAGGTTTACTTAAGCTCCCAGCGCAGATAGGGCTGAGCGCTTGTTCTCTTCGTAGGCAATAAGTATATAAACAAGTGGACCAGTGACTAGGGAGCCAGCCTGCTCATATCCACTACCTTCAAACTGCGCTCCCAGCAAAGCTGGAACTCAGAAGGGGCTTTACAAAGATTACAGCACGTTCACAAGCGCCAAATGTGCTGTTGCGTGTTGTTTTGCGGTGGGGTAAGCCCCCTGAACTAAAGACTAAGGTCCCTTCGCGTGGATCAAGGTAGGGTAAACTCTAGAATAATAAGCTCCAGAAGAATCCCTGCATGACCCCCGAATTGTGGGATATTCCTCACACTCCGAATCTGACTCTCCCTCTCACTATTCCACGAATACGACTAAAAAGTTGTTCCTAACCATAATTACCATTAACCCCTTTTTTTTGTTGCTTATCAGAATTACCTGTCCTTTAGACCCCATAAACCCCTATGTAACCCCCCAAACCTGAACACCTTTTTTTTCTATCCGGTCTCTGCGGGATCTGCCGTAAAACCCAAAAACTCTAAACCCCCTAACCCCTCAAACCTCCCTAAACCCGAAACGCCTAAACCTCTAAACCCCCCTAAACCCTAAAGCCCTTGGCGGTCCCGGTTGCTTGCTTAGGCTGCTCCAAGCCTCTCCTCCTGAAGAGCATCTCGGAGAATCTTTTGGGGTTTCTGCCAAAATTAAGGGGGATTAAGGTTTAGGGTTTAGGGGTCTGGGGTTTAGGGTAACCTTTTGAAGAGGGTTTATGGGAGTTATATCGTAGTTATATAAAGGCATGTCGAGGTTGAGGGGTTGGAGGGCTAAGTTTTTAAGCGGTTTAGGGGCTGAGGGTGTCAGGCTTTTGGGTTAAGGGTGTGAGGGGTTAGGGGTTTACGCACGTTAAGGATTTAGGACCGGCTACTGCCCCCACCCCCGCTACAAGCCTGTACATACATACATACATACATACATACATACATACATACATATGATTGCAGTATCTGGAGACTGCTATACAGTGGGGAAAAGATATCCGAGGTGGGAATCTTTTTCCAGTGGGTTGCTCAAGAGGATGACAAGGGGAGACTTCAGGGACCCTGTGGATGTCGACTATGGAGGTCCCAATTGGGGATCGTGTTGGAATTGCTTTGAAATATGGTACTTTTTCAGGGATGTCCTTCTTTCAGGACTACGTGGATATTGATCTAAGAAACCTACATGTAGAGAGCCTATGGCTACAACAGCGGAGGTAACAAAGGCTTTAGGGGTTAGAAGTGGAGTTGTAAAGCCGGAGTACGTGAATGGCTTTTTGCGACTTCACGCACTGAGGACCCACTAGTTCAGTTCATGTACACAGACATACAGACGTTCAACGTGTACGCTGGTAGTGGCCCGAGAACTGGAGACAGTAAATCTTCAACATGAAGAAAAGCTCCGTAGCCGCACCTCTCTAGCCGCAGAGACGGAAGGATCCACAGTTTGAGCTGGACTGGGGCTCTTGCGCATCATCCGCGCCGCTGTCTCTGGACTGCCGAACCTCCATGTAGTCCTGGCTGGTGCAGTGCTGAGACGAAATTCTTGGCACAGTACCTGCAGGATCGACATGATAACACCTGCCAGTGCTTTCCAAGGACCTCTGCCTGATCAGCTGAACATCAGAAGCATGGTCTGAGATGGAGTCAGCCTGATCCTACACGTCCCCTTAACATAGCCTTCTGTGACGCCGTCACCTTCGCGCTCCAGGAATTCCATGTGCGATGTTGATGAAATGCAGCCAAGTGTCTTTGGCGGCTTGTAGCTGTGTAAACTGGTCATGGCTCCCACCCTTGTCCGGATGCTGGTGCCGAGCGTTTCGCCTGTATTGCCTCGGTCTTTGGCCCAACAACATGCAACTTCAACTCTTTCTTGGTCAGCAGCTAGCACTGTGTGGACATTCAACTGCATAATGCGCGTGCAAGTTGAGATATTTCTTGATCCTGCATCCTTGACCGCACAACAACTATTGATGCCACGTCGCTGTTGAATGAGATCAGGCCCATCGTCTGGCGACACACCCAAGACACGACAGCCTCAGGCACAACGTCTGAAAGGACGGGAAGCCTTTCACAGGCTTCTCCAGCTGGTCCAAGATCCTAACCCCATGTGGAAATTCAACTTCTAAATCATGTCGCATATGCTGGCGGCTGATGCTGGCTGGCGGTGTTGGCTTTAAGACTCACCTGTAACAAAGTGAACCACTCACAGATGAAAGAGGCTGAGCTGCTGTGCAATGTCTGTCGGCCAGCTCGGCGTCCTCTTGAAGAGCTCACTGCATTCTCCTGCTTGTGGGCTTGCAAATAGACGGCTTTTCACCAGCATACACCTGTTCCTTCCTTGCACTGTACAAATGGAGTAGGAGCTGCGCAATGACTGCAACTGTGGGCAGCGCGAGCAAAAATCGCGCTACAACAGAAGCTTCCAACACAGTTCATTCACAATGCCGTTTCTTGTACTCTCCTCACTTACCCCTGCATTACTCGTACAGTACCAACTTGCTCAATAAATCACTCGCACTCGCGGTACCTTACGCCAATGTCAGCTTCTCCTGCGCTCGGACGAAGGAAACCACGACGACTAATTGTTGGGGGGCGACCCCCATACATTAAAGAGGGTGCAACATTACTATGACGACGACAACAACAACAACAACGAGTACTACTACTTCTTGCAATAGTGCTTTTCCTACTGTCCTGTACTGCAAGCACCACTGCCTGCTGCTGCCCCAACCGGGACCACCATCACCACTGGCGCCACCAACGCCGCTGCGCCGCCCGTCAATCAGCATGATGCCACCATTTCTATCGCTGATCGTATCCCAGATATTGCTGGGGTTGGCGTGATACCGACTAGCTGCTACTTACCACTTATACGCGTAGCAGCAGCATGCGCAAGGTTCGGTCCGAAGCCTATGCGCACAGATAGTAGTCCCATTCATTGCACCAATAGTGGGTGATGAGTCTGAAAAATGTTCAGGTCCGCAAGTTCGTGCAGAATAGATATGTAAGCTTCTTGCTGCAACGAGTAGTAGTGGTATCATTGTGACTATCAATACATTGTGAACTCTCTGTCTACGATTTGCAGCGGCAAATTTTTGGGATGTTAAAGGGTTCGCCTCGTAATGCCCACAGATCCTTAAAAGCTCTCTACCTGAACCCCCAAAGTAGGTAAAATAATTGCCCAGATCCCCTAAATATAGCCCAAAAGGCCATTATTCTACATCCGTTGGGGGTCCAGGTACTGCTTTGTCAACATCAGCGCTGCCTGAGCTTGGACTTCGGTCACAGCTTCAAGCTCTTCAGAGCGGGTGCGGACTTTCACAGACGACGGGTGAGTCCTCAGAGGAGGCGTGTGCACATGGAGGCTGGGGTTTTCCGAGGTAAGTGAGGGAGTATCAACGGATTAATTATGCTGCAAGCGCATTGACTTTGTATGACGTAGGGAAGGGCTTTGAAGGGCTTGTACGGAGTAAGGTCAAAGGCTCTTAGTGTTTAGAGCAGTAACCTGTCTTCTTGCAGCATGCCTTGTCCTGAATCTCACGGCTCATCGGGAAATGGCTTTATCGTTTTTCAAAAGTACTTATGACAATGTGGTTCTGGCAATTGTTCTTCAAGTAGGCACCTCATTGTCATGTTGGAAGCTTGAAGTCACGGCACAGCTTGACGGATGTGCGGCTCCCAGAACATGCTTCTATCTCCCACAGGACGCACGCAAGGAAGAGTATACTTCCACACGTTCGCTTTCAGAATAACATCGGCGTGGAGCATGTGCATGCAGCGCGTGCAGTCTCCATCAACATGCGTAGGCCATGGCGGTGCTTTCATGCAATCTCGCTGTATACATGCATGTCATGTGGCTGATCTTTCCCCATCCAGTACAGCATTGTAACTTCTATAAGTGTCGAGCAACAGCAGACATGTCATTTCAGGAAAACAGGAAATGCCAGAATCCCAGAGCATGCAAAACCCAGTCGAATGGCTGGCTGAGGCTCGTCTGCAGGCCCACTTGCATCGCTGGAGCCTGAACCACATCCACGGACTTTGGCACATCGGCCTGCCGTATCGTAAGCTAGTTCCGTCACAGAAGCTGGCCGGGATTTTCCTGAACGCATCAGGCCCTCTTGAATTCCGAGACGTGCGAGCCCTGAAAGCAGCCTTAACTTGGAGGATTTTCTTTGGCAAGGTACGGAGGGATTAGCCTCTGCAAAATGCTCAAACAGCTCAGATCCTCATCAGGTCAAACTTCAAAAGCAATCGCCATCGCAGTCTTCATGATGCTAACCAAATTTTGCATGTTTACAGCTTTCGGCTTTATCTACAGGCTTTGCTTCTACTCATACCATGATGGAAAGAAGCAGAATGGGAACCTGTGCACGGCCCCATCTTATGCACAGTTGCCCTCTGCGGGTGAGGTCAAAGTCTATCGGGGCGTGCTGAAGGGGGGTTCCCGAAATCTCTTGGGGTTATGTTGGGGGGTGCCGGCAATCTGACAGCCATGAGAAGGTCTGACAGTATCTAGGGGAGCCTAACTTCAAGAAACTCAAATATCAGAAAATATCGTCTCCCAGTACACAAAATGTGGGGATTTGTTCTATACGTGAGACTAAACTGGCTTGCTGTTAAGGAACTTAAATTAAGTTACCATAATGGGTATATATAGCAAATAATAGGGTTTCCCCAATATGGTAACTTAATTTAAGTTCCTTAGCAGCAACCCAGTAAAGTATGCTGCCATTGCGAAGTCCCGAATCAAGCACGGCAGAGTTGCAGGTCTTGCCGCAGCTGGAGTGTGTTTGGCAAGCCCGGACGGTCGACGCATTCTTTGGTTGATCTCCTGGATTTGAGACCTTACAGTGAAAGGTCTGAGGATTTTGGGGGCTTGGGTAGCTTAGAAAGACTTCAGGACTTCGATCGGGACTGTATGGGGTCTGGCAATTTCTGCAATTTGAGGCTCCTTTTCGGTCGTTCTTCTCAAGCAAATTCTTTCAGCCTGTTTTTCAGCTTCTTTTCCAGAACATCTTGATGGCCAACAGCATGGCGCTATAGTAGCGTCCATTTCATTTTCCATTATCCTCATATA